GAATCGATCATGTCCGTGATGGATTATTTGAAATTTGTTAAAAATGTGATTTTGTGTTGCAAGAATTCAGTAATCATTTGTCAGTATATCGTTGGGACATCTCAGGCACTGACTAAAGAAAATTACAATGCAGGTGAACGTTTTTACGTCTTCCCAGGGGGGGCAGCAGAAAAACGAATTTTCATGACAAGAACAACATAATACCAAAATGATCCATTTTATGTAGAATAAGTCATAATGTAGTACTAGTTTGTGGAAACATCTGGGTCGTAATTTCATTTAAAAATAGTATTTTATTTATTCTAATTTAGGTACTAATAAATTACAATTGTGCATATTCCGACACTGAGAGCCACGCTAAAAAGCTATTCCAACCAACGAGGCAATGCATTCATGTAATGCCATAATCGCATTATATAGAGTATGCTGGCATACGTTCGAAGTAGAGGACAGACTTTTGATCATGTTAATTTGGCATATATAGGCTTACTCGCAAAAGTATTGGCGACAGTGTTTATTTAGTGCAGACTAAATAACCGACCGTAATTGACACACAGACAGCTCAAAGAACTTCAGTAATTAAAAAAAGCCAATCCTCATAGTGATCGTACAAAAATGATCGACATTATATAAGATGTTTATATAACAACGGATAATACAAACAGGCAATATTTAAGTTATTATCCTTCATACAAGACGTGATCTGGAAATACAATTTACCAAGCATCGACATACAGATCACTTGGTCAATTTTTTGAAGAATCAACAAATTCGATCTCGTGTTACCAACTTGGAATGATACATGTAATGTGTGCAAATACAAATGTAGATATAGCAACCATTCTCGTCAAAGCATATTGCGAATGACCCTTTTGCAAGGACCGAGTAGATTTATTTCCATAAAAAGCTGAACACGTAGCTCCCTCCAACGGCGGTACTCTTAAAAATAGGTTTCTTGATGCAAATTTACAATGCATGTCTCGAGATGCGCAAAGTTATCTCTCTTTAGTTTACATAGCCAACTTTCATTGACGGGGAATGGAAATATGCAACAGGGTAAAATTATTAAATGTTCGTTTGACATTCCTAGGTAGCTGGATACCGAAGACGACAGGTAGAATGTGATGTTTGAAAAACTAGGCTTTTGTAATAAACTGCATTAAAAGAATACGTTTTTAGATTTTGGCCGATATCCAGGAATTTTCTTACCTTATTTATTTTAGTGGTTTGCCTAAGATACCAATATAGAATATGAATTTAGAAAACGACTTCTAGTTTCATCTTGCGCAAACTTTTTAGTGAACATACTGAACTTTAGCAAGGTGATAGAATATTTAATCGGACAATGGGTTTCATGGAAAGAAAGTTTTGAACCAAATACATATCAGCGTCAGCCAAAATGCAATTTACAAAATCAGTTTGTAAACTTTCTAATAAGAATATCATGTACAGAAACTCATTACAAGTTTATACAAATTCACTTGAGACAATGAATGCAAAACTACTCTATTTTGGTTGTAATTAATCATTGAATGTCCTTTTGTGGGCCAGGAATGTTGGCTGGCGGGAACGAGTACATATCCCACCACAAATACTCGTTGGTAAGATGCAAAATGCTGGACTCATCGCCGTCTCGATATAATTCACTCGCTCGTCGGTTAAGTTAGCGCGTTCTTCGCCATCGTACCAGAGAGGGTCAGCACGACATATCGCCAGGCTAATAACCGAATTGCGTAAGTCATTTTTGGCGGTTTTGAGTTTTTTATAAAATAGGTATTTATGTAATGCTGCGCACCTGTCCGTTAACTCAGATTTTATTTTAAGAATTGCGAAACCCATAAAAATGAAGATTTTGTATGACTTGCACATTTGTGTAATTGTTTCGTCATAATGAATTATCATTGCATGACTATTGTGACGTCACAAAGTCAAAATAACCTCCGTGATAGTTTTTTCGAGTTTTGCATCTCTCATTCTAGCTCAGCGCTTATAAATTTGAATTTATACTACAGTATAGGAATGCGTGCACTTGTGATATTACTGTCTGAGTCCAATTCACATTGGTTGGCTACTATATGAGAGTACATTGCTGTTTTATTCTTTATATTTATTCTTAGTCTTATTTCGGTGGGTGTGCAGAGCGTGTTATATTGATGAAACATATATTTTTAAAAAATAATGTAATTGAAACAGATTAGCTATTTTGGGAATTAGACATCGTAGATACTAAGAATTACATTCGTTTTTGGATTGTTTGGTTTTCAGGATTGGTGCATATTGTCAAGTCGCAAAATTGCGTATGTCCTCAAGTCATAAACACATTTCTGGCTAAGTCACAGTGCCCCATTATGACGTCACATAACTGCGTCATACAAATTAACTTAAATCCGGCTACGATCAAAAAATTGAACTATGGCAAATTATTGACTTTCAATGGCATAGCAATATCATTAGGAAGTTTTTTACGTTTTTCTCAAAACTGCTGAAAATGACTTACGCAATTCGGTTATTAGCGTGACGAATATAACAGGTATATCATCACGACGGCAAATGGACTTGAGAAGCACAGTTTACGAAGTGCCAGTGCCATGATCAAATGAACATGTTGCCGGTGTCAAGGAAAGTAATCACAGGCTGACCAGGGTTGTCCAAAACGAATAGAATATTCGAATGTATTCGAATACCTTTTCGGCGGATTTTCGAATAATTCCGAATAATAGCCACTTTTTGCCGTCAGGGAGGTGTTTCGTTTTAAAGAGAAATCTCCAAACGATTTTCCGAGCTTTGTCACGTAATGCAATGGTGGTGAAATAGTATCGACACTTTGATTTTTCTTATCTTATGTGCGAGCGTGCACCTCATATTGTTGCGACACATTTGCACGGTCGCGAGATTGACACTATCGCCATTCCCCTGCAAGGCTTCTAATTTACCATTCATTTGCATTAGGTCGCACGTATCGCATCCAACCATAGTCAGATATTGAATAAGTTAAATAAAGTCGTGCACTTAGTTACAAATTACGACACCCAATAAATAAACTGTCGGAGGTCGAAAAAAACGAGTTGATTTATTAGGAAAAATCATTTACACTTTTTCCCTCTTTTTGGCTAATAACTTTGATAAGGATAGTCAAAAGTAACGACTTTTTACTATGGTGATTTCCCGTTGCGACAATATATTCAAATTCATGAACAATAACAGCATTTAAAATGCCTTACCGTATTAATAATTTTGTTTAATTAACGTAGCATGGCTGCGTCAACTAACGACAAAATAAAAGTATAACAATAATAAAAATAAAGTATAACGGCAATCTGCGGATATAAATTGTGTGGTTAGCTTTCCAATTATAACTACCTTTTTTTTCCTATTTTCGTACTTACGAAAAACAAATAATATTACAACTCTAAAATACAACGGCAATCAGAGGACATAAAATGTGTGGTAAACTGACCGCGTCAACTAACGGAAAAATAAAAGTATTACTATTCAACACCACGGCAATTTAGGGATATAAATTGTGTGGTTAGCTTCCCAATTATAATTACATTTTCCATTCCTATTTCCGTACTTACGAAAAACAAATAATATTACGGCAATCAGAGGACATAAAATGTGTGGTCAACTGCCCGATAACAATTAATTTTTGATTTGTATTTTCGTAATCACGGAAAAATAATTTATATATACTATTTCCCGCTTTTAGGAAAATACTTCTGCTAATTATAGTTAAAAGTATGGACATTTAACTAAGATGATTTTCTGTTGCGACAAAATATTCAAATTCATGACCGATAACAGCATTTAAAATGCCCTACCCGACCTTACGAATAAATTAATGCATAACTACTCAAGATACGGCGGCAATCTGTGGACATAAAATGTGTAGTAACTGCCTGATTATAATTAAATTTTGATTCCTAGTTTCGTACTTACGAAAAACAAAAGCATTACAACTTAATAATGCGACAATCTGTGGACATATATAAGGTGTGGTAAATTGCCGGATTATAATCAATTTTTTATTTATATTTTCGTACTCACAAAAATATAATTTATACTTTTACCCACTTTCGGCAAATAGTTTTGATAACGATTGTTAAAAGTATGGACTTTTCTGTTGTGTGAAATATTTGAATCCGTGACTGATAACAGAATTTAAAATGTCTTGTGGTATTAATTTAATTGTGTTCAACTCAGCCTAACTCTTGGTTGCACCGTCCTACGAAAAATAAAAAGGATTACTTTTATCAAAATAACTTTAAAATACCGCGGCAATCTGTGGACATAAAACGTATGGTAAACTGTCCGATTATAATTAATTTTGATTCGCACTCTCGTACTTAAAAAGGGCATACTACTATAAAATATCAGGGCGATCGGCGGATAGAAATTTTCTGGTAGCCAGCTTGTAGGTAACGGTTATTCCATTGTTTATTATATGCAAATTCCGCCATACAATAAGATAAGCTTGGAATTATTTTCGAAGTATTCGAAAATAATAATTTCGAACGTATTTATACGAAATAGTGAATTATTTGGTATTGGCCATCCCTATTCACAGCAAAAGGGAACTAAGAGTAAAGATAAAATGGCATGACAGATGGAATGACGAAGTCACGTACAAAAAGACAGGTCAGCCGCCGTTGTCGCGGGAGAATGAAAACGTCACAAGCCTACCGGCCGAACGATGGCACGAATCCTAGAATTTGTGCGCGCCCACTTATAGCCGGATTTACATAACTCGTGATCTAGCTACATTTCATCGAATCGATCATATGTTAACTTAATGGTGTTTTTTCATCCATATTTCATGTCACAAGTGAGACTGACAATGCTGCATTTTATGTTGCAAGATTAAACCTCATCTGAAGTTTTTGCAACTTTACTGAATTTTCGCCTGTCCTGTGTGTGTCGCATTTTTTGTACAAAGGCAGAGTTCAAAATGTATATCTATCTACGTTATGCTATTATCCTTTATCTGGACCAAAATAAAATTCAATATGTGTTGCTATATTTAACGTTTACAATGAATGTCGATTGCATATATTATTTGAAACAAATAAAAATTTCATCATATTTCAATATCGCAAAATACACAGAGGAAAATTATTTTTCATACTTCAATCAAGTATAGTGCACAGAAAAGCAAGATTTAAAATTTAGCCCTAAACTATGTATTAAATTGACCAATTCATCAACAGCAAAATAGCAGGTAAGCTTACATAGTGTACATGTGAGGAACTTTGTCATCCATGAAAAAGGAACGGTCCAAAATCAGCCAAAATAAATACTATATTCCAGCATAGTATAAGTCTGTGGGGACAAATTTAGATTAGTGAATTAGGCAAACACAGCGCACACGTATATATGGATTAATTGAGTAATAGTAATATCACACAGTACTAAAGATGAGAATATTTACAAGCAAGATATAGCGAAGCATAAATTATATAAAAATTATAATACTATCACAGCGATTAAATTAAACGGTAATTACACGAAGACGCTAATTTGAATAGACTTTTGAATGTACAGTTTGTACACAATCTAGACAGATATTCATACGTAGCTGGATACGGAAACGACAGGTAGAATTTAATGTTAGGAAAAATGAGGGTTTGCATTAGGAATACGACATTTTAGGTTTTGGCCGATTACCGGGTAATTCTTTGTTTTTTATTCTTTGTGTGCTTTTGTTCAAGATACCAAAATAAAATATGAATTTATTAAACGACTTTCATTTTCATCTTGAGAAAACTCTTTAGTGAACATACTGAGCTTTAGCAAGGTGATAGAATAGTTAATCAGACAATGGGCTTCATTGAAATAAAGTTTCAAATCAACTTTAGCCAGAATGCAATTTACAAAATCAATCAGTTGGGGGGGGGCTTTCAAATAAGAATATCATGTGTAGAAACACATTAAAAGTTATATACAAATTCATTTGAGCAAAACTACCATATTTATTTCAAAAGTAACATGTACACAGAGATAAGAAGTTAAGGTCAGACCTGAAACTAGTTCACATCTCTCCACAAACAAGAGAATGGTAATATCATCACATTAAACAACTAAATCAGTATCTAAATACCATAAAAATTACTAATTTTCACACAGCAAGCTCATTTGACACATTATTCATTATTACATTAAGCACATATATATATAGCACCTTGGAAAATCTCAGTCTTGGCACGACCATGAAATTTGGGTGTAAAACAATTAGTATAAGCAGATTTTAAGCCACAAGTCATCAAGTACAACAACAAGATTATATACTTTCACAAACAAATCGTTTTTTTAGTTTCTTTCAAACTCAAAAATATTGAAGACATATTATGTGCCTGTAAGTGTAAGTGCTTCACTGATAGCGCTAGAATTGAATGAAAAACTGTTTACAAACCAAAAAAATGGTGAAATTACAATCTTTTCACAAATAAAAGAGACAAGAAATTGACGAAGGATGATGATAAAACATTCGTATAAATTAGAAATAGAAAATTATATGCTAAAAACATGTATAATAAAAAAATAATTAATGACAAAAAATGAAAATTACATAAATGAACCGATGGTGGTACATAGTTTTGAAAAATTGAAAAAAAAAATTGAATTTGAACGATAAATGGTACATGGCACACAAAAACAGTCAGAAGCAAGTTTTTATTGAATAATCTGAATTCATCTTATATGCTACGGAACAAAATGTAAACTAATTTTCACATAGGCTTTCTAGCACACAGAGAGGTGTTAAGATGAGTTAAAGATATTGGTATAGGTTTATTCTTCCAAAAAGATGTCAGCATATAGCGTTCTGAACAACCCTGAATATAGCCAAAAATGTTTTTAGATTATAATCGACTGTAATTCGAATTGAGATGAACTATTGGAATGTGATAAGCATTTGATCACATTTTGAGGTTCTATGCATTGGTTGTAGGAAATTATGTACTATTTGAGATAAATTGCGAACACATTGATGAAGATTGGTAAAAAATGTTTAATTATGATGATATAACAATGCAGAATATTAATATAAGTCAAATTTTTCGTTTGAGATATCAAGAATCAAAGTTCAAAGTCAGATAGAGATGGATCAGCATTGATAAAAAATCATAATACAATTAATTATTTATATTATCAAGGAAAACATAGATTTCTTTAACATTTCCAAATATTTTGTTTACAAAATCTGTAATTTTTTTCGATTCCATTCGTGTTAAAGTTTTAAAGCAAATACCTGATTTTGATTCAGACTTTCGTGTTGATGCGATCAATAAGATGAAAATAACATGAACAATTATACTTTTTTAAAATGATAAAGATTAAAATTTCACTCCATTGCTTGATGTTGTTGAGTTAAGACTGGCTTGGCTGCTCTTCTTAGTGGAATTCATACCCTTGCTTTTGGTGTTGTCTTCACCAGTCAAAATATTGAGTCGAGTTTGTGCCGAATGCATACGGAAGTGTAATTTTGATTCATGAGAATAATGCTTGTAGTCTTGCCTAACAAAAAGGAAACGAGAATATCGGTCAGAGACCGAAGACTTATCGATCGAAAGTTCGGGGATCCCCCAAAACAGCGCTCTTACTCCATAGTGACACCTTGTGTCCCATCACTAATTAATTAATAACTCGCTAATTATACGACATAATTCATCCAAAATCAACAGGCTCCTGGTACGGCATATGATGAATGCACATGCAAAATCTGGAGCAGATTCAATCTCGCTTTCGTAAGATATCGCGTGCATCTAACAGACATACAAACAGACAGACAAATACCTATCAACATACTTACCGATTAAAATCGATAAGTAATAATAATATGAGAATATATTTGGTGTTTTCTGGGAGGTGTTCTCAGTGTTAATAGGGCTCTGTACAAACAACCACTAATAAAGCGCTGCTATTTTTATAGTGAATCTTCCAGAACGGAATATTTCCGGTTTGGCAAAGCCTACCAAATTTTGTTATACCCTGGGTGAGGTGGTGGGATGAAGTTCGAACCCGAGATCATGTGACCCCAACTTTGTTGGACCAACACTCATTCAAAAAAAGCAAATTGTCATTAGTTATACAGTAATCTAATATTCAGCTAGCACTGCACACTATTTCATTAATCAGCAGTATATTTTTAGCTTGGTATAACTTGTGCTTGGAGCCTTACCCTAAATAAGATAGGTAGGTGGCAAGAGTTGATCATGTAGCAGCAAAGATAACTGCTTCACTCGTAATAAACAAATGTTACTTACTTGACTGACTTTATTGTTGCTCTTGCTTCATCATACCTTTGTTGCTTCATCAACATCCAGACTAATTCAATCAATGCAAAGGGAGTCATATAATGATCCTTTTTAATGCCTTTGTGACTGAACAACAAAACAAATACTAGGTTAATAACAGCACTCTAAGCCAAGATATTAAAATAAAGAACTCACTGTAAGAACAGATAAGATTTTCATACAATCTATTTAGTTGAATTATTCTAAAAACATTGAAAATTCGACATAGAACTTGTTTGAGTTGTTCCATCCAGACTTTGTTAAATTTTGTCAAATGATGCCAACATTTATGGAAAACCAACAAACTAGTTGGTCACCATTGTTACCAAGGCAAATACTGAGATGTAGTCTGCAAGGAATGGCCAGCATCTCAAAACGATGCTTTTACTTGTCCACGGTTGCCCTCTTTTTAACACACTTGTCCCACTTTGCTATACTTGCTTCCTATCCCACACTTTTACCAATTGTCCTACATGTACCACTTCTACCGTTCTGACTACAATAGCAAATATTTAAAGTAGAATTCATATTAGGTTCTGGGTTGGGATAGATATAATATATCGTCCAGAAGATTAAAATAAGAATATAAAGTGAGATACACACTCACACAATCGGGGCAAAGAGTTGGACAAGTTTGCTAAACATGGTAAAGTCACAAAGTGTGGAATACAACATTTTCGAGACACACAGATATCCTGAAACTTTACACCAGCGTGAAATAGTTTGTCAGTCTAATACTTACCTGCCATCCTGTAACCTATTCTATTACATCCTACATGAAATAGCAGACATGAGTCTGCCCTATACCTATCATAACCTCGAAGCTTAAGATTGCAGAGTTCGAAGAACAAATACCTCAGCTAAGTCATTTCCAGTAAAAAACTATTTGTAAAAATATCTATCTGTATCAGTCAGATAAAACACATACTTCTCCCTGACATCTGTAAAGCACAATTCAGCCTGCAATGGTTGTCCATTGAAATTCATGCAGATTCCTTTGAAGAGTTGCAGGAGACAATAATCATCAAAATAGTTGAATTCAGGTCCATCCGGTTTCTTTTTTGAAGATGTCGAGTCTAGAATAAAAATTGGAAAGAAATAGTGATACCAAAAAAGCTTATGATCCCAAAGTATCAAGTTACAATTTATCGTTTCATATTTGACTCAATAATAGAGAATCCTTAAGAAAAATACCCTTTTCAGTCAATTGTATTGTATCCCTTAAATCAGGGGTTCCCAAAGTTGATTGGCCGCAGGCCAAAATTTGAGCAGAAGGACATTCGCAGTCCAGAAAAGGGAGCGGCAAAAATGATGCGATGGTACTGCTGGGGTTCAGGGCGCGCTCGAGCAGCCTGGGAAAAATTTTGAAAAATCGGTACTAAAATAGGCTGCAAGCTTGATTTTAGATACACCTAGCATCGCAGTTTGTTATGTAAAAAAATCAATAATTATAATAGTTAGGTGATTGAATATCCGAGGAATAACAAGCAGAACTTTCAAGAAGGAATATTCAACTGATAGTGACTAATGAAGTTACTTGCTCATCTGGCATATACATTTTTTTACACAAAAAACATCCTAATGTATATAAATATAAAAAAAACAAAATGCCAACTTAGTTGTGTAATCAAGGTTGGCTCGAAATCAGATGTTCAAAACATGGCTCCAATTTGGTACGTTGTATTCGTGATAACGCATTCAAGTGATTATCTGTTAGTCTGGCCCGCAGTTTTGATTTGTTGAGGTTCATAATTGTGTTGTTAGAAAGATTGATGCTGGATAATTTACTTTTCATACCAGGAAGAATGACTTCCAAAACTTGCAGCATACATTTGTGTAAAAAGTTCCCCTTCAACAAACGGGCGATTAATTTTAGCGATGTTGTGGGCTACAGACGTGGATTCAATTCATTTGACATTTTTTTGAACATGTTTGTATGAATTTAACAATGAATTAAGTTTAGAAATACGCTGCTCAAGCGCCAACTGATCCTAATTCGAAGAATAATTTGTCTCATAATGGCACCTAATGTTGTATTCCTTCAGAACTAGAATAGTTTGTTGGCAAGGAAGACAAATCGCTGAAATTTGATTATTTTCAATAAAGAAATAAATTAATGCTGTCATTTATCTAAAAAAACGTCTATTTTCAGTGTCTAGTTTTCATTCTTTGCCATCTTTGATAAGCTTTTTTAATATAGGGCCGATACCTAATATACTGCGGTATGTAATCATAATACCGGTATGTATACTTAAGATACCGGTATAATTGATTTGTTACGAATATACACATGCTTAAAATGTGATAATGATGTAACAATTGGCGGTATCTAGAACGCAAAAAGGTAAACACAAAGTGTTAAACGTATTGGTATTTATTTATGGTTAAAGGTCACCTATTTCACTCATGTTCGACGGGCCATTTTAAATCGTTAAATCGGGACGCCGTTTGGGAACCCCTTCCTTAAATGAATACTCATACGCAAACAAAAACATATGTGAGGAATCGTTGCAATTTCAGCAGCAACATAGTAACATTTCCATGTTTATATTTCGTTTATAAAAGTACATGAAATTTTACACTAAAACTAAAACAGCAGTGAGAAATTGACCAAAAAAGACCAACAAATGCTGCAGAATTAAATTTATGGGAGTAAGATCAAGGTTTCTATTTTGTTCTCCATCCACTGTGATTTATCTCAAAAATTTATCCAGTTCTTACCGTTTTCTTTATCTTTTTTCTCTTGTTCTGCTTTCAGTTTATCTAATTTTTCTCTTTCTTCATGGACAACAGCTAAATGTTTCTTATTGCATTCAGGATTGCCTTCCAGCATTGCCATCCCGTTCCATACAAACAACATTTCCTAAATATCAATACCAACAACATATTCGTAAATTCATCAAGGGAAGTATCGCATAATGGTGATGAATAGGAATAAGCACAGACTAACACTACTGCTTAGCCTGTGTTGATTCACAACTTCAAATCTAGTCGAGAATGAGAAATCTTGAAAGGATCACAAAATTTTTCATTTGAGACCGATTGAGAGGTACCGTATTTTACGGCCATAATTTAAATCTCCTTTTTCACAAAATTGACCGCGCACCTCATAAAGCGGTGCATCTGATGCATGGGTAAGACAATGCTTTATTGCCTGCACTCTAAACCAGTAACAGTTTCGACTTCCAGCTCAGTGCGCCTTTTGTACAGACAAAACCCCAATCAAAGCAATTCATTGGTGGTGTTCCCGCCTCATGGTCCATAAAATATGGAACTAGGTAATCAAAAAATTATGTCATTATAGTGCCTGTCCTTTACCCATACCTGAGCAGGCATTACTAGTCTTTTTCCTTGCTCAAAGTACTTTCTTGATTTTCGTGCAACAAATTTTTCCATTGGGAAGCTCTTCCCGGCAATACGTTGCTTTAAATCTGGAACCTGCCTGGAAATTACGAATCATAATTTATGATTAAACTTTGAAAAAGTTTCCGCATGTCAACAACAGCAATTTAGAAAGACGATCCCACTTTGTGTCTACCAATATAACATGAATTTTGTGCAAATAATTACATAATAAAATAGGATTGCAGGCCTTGTTAACTCAAACATGAGGCTGGCAAAATTATATTTCAAAAGCAGCCAGTAAATAATATAGACAGAATAATACAAACTTTATACATATTAACCTCACGCTGCAGAGAAAAAAACTATTTTGTAATCTTAACAATGAACTGAAATTATTCATTTAGAACAAAGTATGTTTTAAATTATTCATGTAAAATGTTCAAAAGAACTGAAAAATATAATTCAATTGAATAAAAAATTGATAGGGAAATTCAATCAGTATGAGGTTGAATATTACATGAACCACCCTACGACAGCAAGTCCAGCAATTCTGTTGCACATAATTAACCCCAATAGTTTCAAACCTACGAACACACACAAGGTACTCAGAGGTGCAGCGGTGAGGATATTCCTAGCGTTTAGCATGATGCGCCACACCCCAAAGTTCAGAATCGAACTCTTAGACGTTATTACAATAAATATCAAAAATACTGTGGCACTGTAAAGTGGAAAAATCATTTCACTTTTTACTTTATATATTAATTTAGCAATTATAGCTAAATTGAATCAAATATTTGATACATTCAAAGTTGGTTATATTCCATATAATGAATATACGATTCCTAATTTGGAAATTTTATTTTAATAAGAGCGTATTCAGAATACTAAATAACTTAATTTTACCATACCTACCAATAACATAAACTTAATTGAAGCTTTCAAAGCTACTCTGGGATAAATACAAAATCAATTTTCTATTAAACGTCATGCCCTTCAATAAAAAACAAACGTACCTCATAAAATCATCAATCTCCTTTTGCTTCTCTTCAGATTTATCATCTTGCATATACAAAAAGATAGCACATAGATACGTGTAAATAGCAGGTGACCACTTGCTTTCTTTCCTAAAACAAGAGAGCAATGTTCAAATATATGGAAAAGAAGACGCACTCCAGAAGTATATGTATCAATATGGAGGGAACTAATTCTGTTCGCCTACTTTACATCAAGTTGTGCGAAGAGACTGAAACCTTTGTGAAAAAACTAGAAAAAAGCTTTCAGTGGCTTCAACTTCAATAAGTACTGAAAATTGGAAATTGCTAGGTCTAATAATTCAAAAGCAATTTATTATTAATAACGACAATTCCGCAAAATCATCCCATATGTCCAATGCATGCCCAATATAGATTGTTAAAAAAGTGAGAATCCCTGTTTCAATACAGATTTAAATTTTTATATAGGCTTTTGTTTATAAATAATTTAACAGATTATTTGAAAATTGATATGATATTTGAATCTGGAACATGATGACTTATTGAGTTACCTTTAACATGGCTCAACTATTATTAATAATAGTTGGAAATAAAGCAATATCCCGGCCGCTTAAATTCAGTACTCCTAGATCACTGCTAAACAAGGTTTATTAATGTTGTTAACGCTGTCGTCAACATTACCGTTGACTTTTGTTGAGTTTTAAAAAAGTTCAAAACACTGCCGAAACATAAACATTTACAGATCAGACTCAACAAAAAAAGTACCTTTTGACTAAAATATTAAAAATCAAGCCAATTTTCAAGTCAAACTACAGAAATTTTTCTAAAGTGAACAGCAAAACTTTAAAAATCGAAATCAAGGTTTCACCTGAGTAAATTTGCATATTTTCTTGCTTCTTCCCACTCTAGTTTGAATGAGTGACACCACATCAATTCCCAGTAGCATAGGTGAGATAATTGTTTCCATTCTTGTTGAGTGGAACTTGATTTTACGAGCCATGTTGATGCCTGTTATAGAGAGTAACATAGAATTCAAAATTCTAAAAAAATTTATTATTTTTTAATGATCACAGCATTGTCTTGAGACAAATAACAATATTATATAAAACTTAAGTTTTCTTTTATACACTGTTCACTCTGAACAAGGCTCTGTGCAATCAACCACTGCTTTATTTTAAAAGGACCAGATGATTCCGCATTGCCTAACCAATTCATTACACCCTGGGTATGTAAGGTGGTGGGTATGGGATTCGAACCCAAGAAATTACCCTCTGAATCGCGATGCCATTGTAGTCAAGTGCCCATCCTTGTTTTTTCTGTTCACAAAAAAATATAAAATATTATATAACTGAAAGGCACAAACCTCAGTGAAATTTCCTTTGATTTCCTCCAATCTTCCTTTAAACATCAAGAAATAAACTCCACTTGGATATTGCTTCAACATCACATCTAAAATTCTTTCAGCAACTTCGAGATCCTCATCATGAGCAACTAAAAACAAATTCACTAATTCTTCAAATCAAGATCAGAAGTCAAGAAAACTTGAGGGTAAGGAAAATACCTTTATAAGAGCATTATTATTACCACTCGGTGTTTCTTATTAGTAAAAGTACCTTATGCCAATGATCTGATGAAGGTCATAGTCAATGGATGGAAAAAACCCATAAAATGGAAACTTTTTCTAGATGAAACTAAGCTCTTGCCAATTTAGCGATAATAACTTCAATATCTTTGTTTTTGAGTGAGTGTGGGTGGCCTTGCATTGAGAAAATATGCTATTCGTTGTGTGCTATATAAATATGTAAATCCTATCCCAAGCTTATTATATATCTTGCATCACACCTTCAAAAAAAATTTTCGACAAAAACCTGACTTAGGTCAGACAAAAATTGATGGAAAAAAATTTGTTAAATTTTGAGATAAGATATTTGAACCACTTCATAATTTGATTTTAATTATTTTAGTGAGGCTTGTTAAATAAATATATTAGCCTGCAGAGCAAAGCATTGCTTTGCAAAACAGGCCCCAAGTATCGTTCGGATTCATTGACAAATTTAAGATTGACAAATAAGTCAAACAAACGATATTTTCATACAAACCACAAAGTTAATATAAAACAGCATAACAGGCCATTTTCAATATTAAAACATGAAAGCGGTTTTCCTAAAATATTTGCAGACCATTAGAGAGACAGGTACAAAAATTTAAGATATCAAATATTTGAAAAATTTATTGATATAAAAAGCAATAATAAAAAAGTCTTTATAAATCACTGATATTTTTCACTTGTTATGTAAATGATTTCTGTATTCGTCATACAAGATATAGTTTGTCCTAATTTAATTCAAATCCAAGTAGCTATGTACACGTCTCAAAATCTTAGTGAGTTTCCTTGAGACATATAGAGTGGCATATAGAGACCAATATCACAAATTTGGGTCTAGTATTGAAAAGTGTTTTCACTGCAAGTTTTCAGTACTGAGATTGTAAACTATATTTTCAACATCAATACTACTATTTTATTAAGTATGAATTACATATCAGGATGTAACCAAATACTAAATTTCCAAGTATTATTAACTTTTAAAGTGGGATGTGTCATAAGATGACAGTCAGAGTCTTATCTAATGATGACAACTTCATAGCTAGAATATTAGCTCATGTTTGGTTCTTATTCTGAAATATTGGTATAGTCTGATGCAGACAATATCATCCATAGTATGTGCTTGGTGTCAAAAGAGATCCAAGTGAAAGGGTATATAATTCAATCTCTTTATCAATATATTATCATTAAAAAGTATATTGCTCGAAGTTAAAACAGTGCTGTGTGAGAGTGATTTATAATTAATAATCAAGTCATCGAGATAAAATCATGGTAATCAAATATTTATCAACTGACTGAACTGTAGCAAGAACAACATGCTGTGTCAATGACCTATTCTGCAAACTTACGAGAATTCTGCAAAATGCGGTTATGAAGTTACATGTGTATGTGTGTGCGAGAGTTGATTGAACACCATTCGAGACAATATTTTAAATTTGCAAATTTGAAATAAACCTTATGATTTTTGTAATGCATAAGGTAAAAATATTCCTTGGGCGAACACAGGTATATCAGCAGAAAATAGCATTTTAAATCCAGAATAGATCAGATAAATTTCATGATGGCACCGGAACTTATAAGCAAGAGAGGCAAAATAAAAGAAAAAATACCTGTGAATAAAAACAGAATTTTTTTTTATCCATTTCAAGGACAACTGTTTTTAGCAATGACTATTTATATATTATTTTAGAAAATAATTTGATATTTTGGGAATTTATATTCTTGCTACTACAATTTTCTATTTGTGAAAGAATCGGAAATCATAATAACAATTACAATAACATTCCCGTGTCCCTATAGAAAACATCTATAAATTGCCAGAGGTTGTATTGCAAAACAAAATTTAAACAAAAGTTTCAACTTTATAACAAATTGATCCACTTTGCAATATAATCATATTGATTGGTTCTCCATAACAAGATGACAATATACACTAATTCTCAGTGGGATTAAACATATTGTTGAAATAAAAAATCAGTACTTGGATCAATCCCTATAAACTAATCAATAATTTCACAAATTACAACAATGAAAAATGAATGTGACTGAAGTATCGAATCAATGATTCATTGATGCTGAAGCCAGTGGAAAAAACTTAATTCCAGAAAATTCCACAGTCATTTTTGAAAAAAGTGTTTCTTAATAGGCCTATCAAAATATTTTTTGTATAATTATTTGTCAAATCTCGATTGATCTCAAATTAACAATATAATAAATATATAAAGAATCCATGATTTTTCTGTAAATCCGATTCATTCAGACTAATCATAAGCAATAAATTAATTGTGAATCACAAAAACGGAAAATATTTCAAACTTCTAGAAACAAGAATATTTGAATATAATCAATTCTGATTGTATTCAAATATTCAGTATGCATGACTTGGACATCCAAGATATCAATGCTGGATCCAAACGAAGTATGATTCATCGGTACACAATGCATTTTAGAGAATTTGCTCAAGGCAAAGTCACAAACACCAACTCATTTATAAAGGAGACTCATCACTGAGCAAACTTATGGACAATCTAAGTTGGTACATTATACTCCGTAAATTTTAGTTTATCAGAGACTTCAAGCAGTTCAAATCAATACAGTACATTCATTTCTCAATCCCAATCTTACCAAACATAGTAGCATTACATACCTGTTATTTGTGCAATAAACAGATGATAGGTTAGGAGATACAGAGCACCAAGACTTGACCGAACATTATCCTCTTCATATGCTGACATCAGTTGTTGGAATCCAAGCTTTTTATCACAAGTGAATCCGACCCATTCCAGGAGAGTGATTATTCTTGGGGGTAACACCGACATGAACTAGATAAAAAAGAATATTTTCCAGCCTAAAAGCAAAGAAACTACAGCACTGCATTGTCTAACTGTGTAATTCAGGTACTAATGAACCTACAGAAAAAAATTCTGAGATTCTGAATATTGAAGTCTCAGTTGGTCAATTCACCACATAACTTTATAAAACATGACTGTATAGATATGATTTTCATTTTTATGATAAATGGGAGAAAAAAGACGACAAACAACAAATTAATCATATGAAGAACCATGGTCTTTTTTTTTACACCAGTCCAGGATTATAGGATAGTCAACCAGTCAATTGTTCTACATCTACAAGTATGGATTTTGATGCGGAGGAAGTCTATATCCAGGTAATTTTATCCCCCCTGTAATGGTCAGGAGACCAGCAATCATCCCGCCCTTAATATCTCCCTATGGGGTTTAAACCTGAGGACCCAAGCGTGGTAATCAGTGGTGCGTTGTCAAACATGTTCCTAATGTTTAGCAAAATGTGCCGTCCACCACCTAGCCAAGTCAGATTCACATACCCAACTACTACATTCAGAGCGAAGATTTTAAAATCAGTTCATGTTTTTATCTAAGAAATATTGAATAGAAATAATTTTGACTCGATTCACAGTTCAAGTTTTTCAGACTGCTATCTTCAGGTATCACAAATGACTACGATATCAAATAAATTTTTAAATATAGCATACCACATTGAAAGCACCACATCCAAGGAAAACACCCCCAGCAAAATGTCTCAGCATTTCATCTTCCTTCCAATTCAATTTACCGAGTATTTTATGACAATAATTATAAATCTGATAACATTGACGAATCTTCAAGGCACCTTTGATAAAACTGATCATATTTTCATCCTGTGAAAAACACGGACATAAATGTCTTATAGATGCAGGAAGGAAATATAGAATTGTCTGGTTATCAGTGCGTGGTATAGGATTAGCCCATACTTTCCAAAAACTAGGCTAAAAAAATTAACAAGAATAGTTGAAAAAAAATTGGCAGAAAATTTGGACTTCGTTCATCCCAATATAAAGTAAGGAATTCCAACTTCAATTCCCAAACAAGACTCAACGAGATGTTAATTTTTTTTATTCTGACTCTGACTTTGGAGTAATAAGATTCAGACTCCAATGAAAAAAGATCTTATTAACGGACCAGATGTTATGTAAGGATTCAGCTATGATGAAACTCAGACAGAAATCCTCGTGTATATAAATAAAACCACACGAAGGACGTGCCTCAATAAGCCATGTTTTCCTTTGAGAGAACAAAGAATTGAATATTTTAAAAGCAAAGTAGATTTAAAGGAATTTCCATGCCAATGTGCAGTTTCATTGTTTCGAAATTTTTTTTATGATAATAATTCATTCATCTGCAAAATAAAATTGTTTTATTGGAACTTGTAAAGTACCATATGTTGTTGTACAGTTAGTTACATTAAGATAGCGAGAATATCATGGAAATGGAAATTTAAAAACGAAAACTATACCTGAATAAAAGTCAATGCTGAGCGAAAGAAAAGACATTCTGCTGTTATCAATTCTGAATGAAGTTCCTCTGAAAATTTAAAAGAACATGTTTTAAATTTTGAACCATTGTTTTTCACATGAAGGACCAGGTGTGACAAGATGTCAAGCAATGTCCTGTTTCATCAAAAAAATCAAGTCAGTTTAAGATTATGTGGCTGGAGCCTGGAGTTATTGACCCCAAGATGATCCTATGATGCTAAATTGCCAACAAACTAAGATATAGTAGCAGGACAGGCCCTATATAGTAGTCATTCACAGAGATGATCACAGACCCTTTGAGATATACTTAGGACCAAAACTCAAAAATGTGACAGCCTGCAGAGTTCACAGTCACATACAGAAGAGTTTAAAACAAATTATTTGGAATGGAGAGGTGCATTCATTTTTTTAGTCATAAATATATTTAATAATATCACCTTCTGTCAACTCTGCCGTGTTAGTGATTCCAAGTGCTTTTCCAATTGTTGTACTAATATTTTCTTTTCTTCTCGATCTAGAGACAAATAAAGCGTAAAATAATACAATAAAACATTACAAGTAATTGTTGATAACTAAGAGAAACGCTCTGAAAAGCAAGAAGATCATGTTACATTGTCAAGGAATTTTGAAGCCCACTGTAGGATAAAATATCATAAAAAAAAAGTTCTCATATTGACCAGTGGAGATATGATACAGGAAAAAAACTACTCATACATTCCTTTTTATAAAGACTAAACTTTGAGTTTACTTCAAAATTTAGTCTAATTTTACCAAGCAGAACCACTTTGACCTGGCATAATCTAGCATTTCCCAACACGGAAGGGTTCTATCACAAAGGAGAAATTTTATCATTTCGGGACAGAAAATTGTATTTGTGCCTCATAGTAATAATATTTTTGAATTATTTAGTAGGCTATTATTATAATATGCTTTTATGCACACACTTTGTACTATTCCATCTGTACAAAACCCACAGTGTTCTGTGTATGCATCACAATCTCATGACCCGGTGAAGTTGAATATTTATGCATAGTATGGGAGTAATGAAAAGTTTCAAAATGGGTGAAGAGGGATAAGTGTGTAAAAGCGGTGGGAACCACTGATGTAACAATCATACTCATGAATGGTACAAAGTGATAATAGAAGGAGGATGAGATATCAAGATTATTCAAGGCATTGATTTTGAAAAGCTGATCAAAAATGTAGAAAGTCACTCTGTGACATTGAAACGATTATTATAAAATATGAGTCAACAGCGAAATAGAAATGCCAAGCATACAGTCTCTTAAAACTATGCCGACATCAATAACAGTTCTCAATAATTAAGCAGCATGAATATTGAATACCCATTCTCATTAGTAATTAGAAGCTTATAAACAATTCAAAAATGAGACGGATATTCTCCTGATACATGCGTATATTATTATTAATGCCAACATAGTCTTGTCCTGAGTCGTAATTGATTGCAAATCAATGGCAAAAGCCAAATTATACTTAGCAAGGGTTTCAATTCGGTCCTTTCAATATAGCTAACTCTTTTTCATGAAGTATTTTCAATTAAAATGTTGCCATCTCAAGCATTGGGAGTTCACAATATTTGAGTTCAAATTGAAGTTTTTATATTAATACATTTGAAACATATCAATAAATGGCTCTGGCTAAAATTATTAAGGCTGGTATTATTTCAGTCAACATCAGATACAACTTACTTCTGTAAAACTGAGTTTGCTTCCTTGGTGCTGTTCAATGTATCAGCAATGTCTTTCTATAAAGATAAAAATATAATTGAAAATATCAATTTGATTTAAATTATAACTGACAGGAATAGGTTATAAACACCGTCACACGAGCTAAATTATGAGAAAAATTAAAGCAAAGAAAGTTAACACAAACAGTTTAGCAGAACAGTAAAACAGTAAAAGTCTAGCACCCCAGGTGTGATAAATAATAAATAAAAAACTGAAACATTTTTTGTACATTGTCAAATATTAGTTGATTCCAATACAAGTTCTTGTTCAGAGCAAAAGGCATCAAATACTCATTTTGTTTTGAGCACCCCAAATGTGTAATAGGCCTATTTATATTTTGAAGAAGAATGGATAATAAAGAGCTAAAAATAATTTAGCAATATGGTACACATTGTAAATCAGTAATACGCAAGCAGTGCCCTTCATACCAAAATTATCATAAAAATGACAAATAAATTATTAAAGCCCTATTGAGCATGATGGATAGAAATTCATACTAGTACATTCAAATTATCTATGATATATGTATGATAGAATGATACAGAACCACATGATTTATATAGACCCACAAATAATTGGAGTACTCTTTTGTGTGCACAATTTTGTCAAGGACATGACAGCGTTGACAATATGATGCTTTAACAATGTTTGCACTGAAAGATTATTTAACTCAAACAAACATGATTTTGTTAATGATGTACTATGGGGGAAATTTTGGACTATTTTAGGACTTATATTGGACTATTTTGAACTTATTTGTGTTTTAACCAAATTTTACTCTTTAACATCTGAATTAAATTATTATCCGACTGTGAAAATAGCAGAAGACAACGATCACACAGATTGTACAAATCAAATTCTCAACAGATCATCGTAGTTTGTATGCCGATTGTAATAAAACTTTGAAGACCAGTATATTGCCGATGAAAAACTGTATAAATCATTTCCATCGCCATGTCAGTTCATCTGCCTTAACGACATATCCTCAACCTTGAAATGACCTTATTGATTAGTCAAGAGGAAATAACGCAATCAATGAAAATGTGTTAACTTGAACTTACGCTGTCAAAGGTCATGAAAGCTTCAAGAAATTGAACAGTTACTGTACCAAGGGAATGATACATCGTCTTTCCAAACCTGTGAATGTTAAAATCAAATTCAGATGATATTTTAATTAATGTACCAAAAGATAGGTTAATTATTAGAAGGAAGATTTAGAATGTCTAGATCATGTTCTATGTTCATATTCAAATATTTTAGTGTTAGAGCTTTTATTTCAATTCGATATAAAATATCGCTTATTTCAATTTTTCAAATACGGTTATTGAAGATCTCCGATAAAAACTTGTACTGACGAATTAATGTGCAATTATCTGCTAACTGCCACAACAACAACAAAAAAGAGAAAAATTTAAGAGACACAAACAATTGACAAAAAAGCGAGTCCCGAAACCATAAATTACATATCAGAGTTCTCAGCAGATATACAGAGATGACAGATATACTCAGTGACATTTATTATTGTTTTAAAATAAGATAATATTTTTATTTTAGTTATTATCATGCTGAGTTTTATATGCACAAGTCTGCCGAACACAAAATCTTAAGAAAACTGGGGTCTCGTGTAGTTTCGTACCTAACGTACTTCTAATAGACGTAGCATAACAAATTTTGATATGTCGTATGTCAATCCTAACCCCCATCTGACTACGCCATCCAAAAATTACGTCACTACGACATCACAATCACGTCATAGAGCTTGCCAAATATACGTACTATCGCCCGAAATGGCGTCGGCGCTGACGTCATCGATCTCCTCCCTATTGGGATGGTAGTGACGATAAAACGAGAGAAATAGCTGTTCAATTTCGGGTGCTCGTCTTCGCGTCATGGATGGCAGTTCGTATAGTTTGAAGGGCTCCATTACATCACTGTGACGTAATTTTTGGATGAAATAGTCAGGTGGGGGTTAGGAATGACATGTGAAAAAATTGTTATGCTATGCCCACTAGAAGTATGTTAGGTACGAAACTACACAAGACCCAAAAACTGTTCCCCATCGTTGGTTGTGGAACCGAAATTAGGTAATTAAAAATCAGTACTGTAGTAACATATCAAACAAGTAATGCTTTTGTTTCTATGCAATGATAACACGATATTTATAGGTTAAACAAGTAATAAGGTGGGTACATCCAAATCCAACATCAGCCAAAATAACTAAAACTAGAATATTGCCCATTGCAATCAATAACAATAGATTTTGAACAGCGGCAATGATAATCCGGTAATACAGGTGTCCATAAAATTGTCTACAGTTCAAAAAACAGTAGGACATAGTTCTCCAATAACAAGAGGTTCAGGCAATTCCTTCAATAAAACGAACACCCTATTTGAATGCAGTTTTTTACTAAAAACACTAGGATTCTGTAGTAAAATATTATTCTTCGGTAAATCATATTATTTATTAGATTCTGAGGAATCCAACAGTGGACCATTAGAATGTCGCTTCCTTATAGTTAATTGCACATTCCTGGATTGCTGATGAAGGCGGAGGCGTTTGCACCGACTGGTATGATGGATGTTTTTCAATGTCGAAGCTAGTTATTCTTGAAATCGAAAAACTGTGCCGTACTCAAAGATTAATCGATTATGTCAAATGACAATTTATAACTTGTATAGATAATTTACGACACACTGTATTGAGACAAATTTTATAAATTCGATACGGTATTAAAGGAAAACACATTACCCTTTTCCTACTATGTCTTTCGCTTTAACAAATTCATTATTCAAGAAATAATGTAATGCAGCCGTAACCTCTGAAATATCATGTTGTATTTCCGAATCTTCAGCATCAGGACGTATTTTCAGATCGAACAGAGCATCTGCAAACTAAAAATATACAATTAAAATAATATGCAGGAGATATAGGCTGTATAGGAGTCAAATATATCAGCATATAAGACAGTACCGGAACCACATTGCAGTAAGACTGACAAGTGGATCCGTACCGGGTACCGTACATGTTCAAGTGCTGAAGGTTTTTTATGGAGATATCTATATAATAAAAAACCTAAACAGTACCTCAGTAATGAAAAAAAATCTTGATATAATATTCTACCTCGTCATCTGATCCTTCTTCCTCTCTGTAATTTTCATATTCTGTTTCAGCCATTTCAAGCGCTGACGCGTCCAGTCCTATCTGGCTATATTTCCGAAGATCACAGGGGTGCAAATCTGACCATATAAACTGATACACTAAGACACTGGACTTTCAAATAACTCTAAAAGTATCTGGGATAGCTAGCCCTGTAATACAGTGGTGTGAGAAATGCTTTTAGTTGGTCGGGTGCGAATGCAACTTCGGAACCTAGACACATCGCTCAGGTGATCGATAAGGAACTAGAATTGCAACTACGGTATCCTATATAAACAAGACATGACCAAATGACTTCAATTGCTTGACCAACAGCGCCATAACGTGACCGTTTATGATGAACAGAAGAAAAAGAAAGCCTTACTAACCAAAGTTAACATAAGCCAATGGACCTTTCCCCGAGCATCGTTTTTCTTGTTTACTTCGTGACATTGGCCAATCAGCAAGATGCAAAAAGTGACGTAACAATGCACCCTTTTCGCATCCGCTCAGACACTTTTCTCACTCAGACAGATTTTCAAGTGTGGTTGTAAACATTACCTCGGTTTCGCGTTTTTGATCTCTATTCGTTAGTTTTCAGTTGTGTTTCGGAAACTTAAATATAAATCAGATAATTCAATGATAACTCTGTCTTCCTAGGAGTTTTAATTTGATTGCAGTAATAAAAATTAGTGTAGAAATAGCTGTGATAGACTAGCCTGAAATTCTTTACTGGTACTTTTAAAAAAAAGATTGTTATATGCAATGATTCATAATGATGGTTTGTAACAGATACACCATTTTACAGGCGCCAACTCGCAAAAGCACTCTTAAAATAGCCCCGAAAATTTTGCAATGGTAAAGTATAGGAAGAATTATCCGGGGGTCAAAGGTCGGGGAAAGGTCCATAGAGAAAATAATTTAACAATAACGTTATTGATTATTGTTTTGTGCAGGTCAGTGTAGAGGGCCGATATAGGTCACGAACAGAGATGGCCAATACCGAATAGTTCACTATTTCGAATGTATTCGAAATTATTATTTTCGAATATGAAATTTCGAAGACATTCGAAAATAAAATCAAGTAATAGAAGCTTATCTATAGTGTATGAATGAATTTGCATACAATAAACAAAGGAATAACTTATCTACAACTTGGCTATCTACTAACCTGGTTTTCTACAACCTGGCTATTTACCAGACATTTTATGTCCGCAGATTGCCGAGTGGTAGACTATTGCTCTTCATATTTTAGAAGTAGGTACGAAAATACGAATCAAAAATTAATTATAATGGAGCAGTTTATCACACATTTTAAGTCCACAGATCGCGTTGTATTTTGTAAATACGAAAATAGGAATCAAAAATTAATAATAATCGCGCAGTTTACCACACAATTTATGTCCACAGATTGCCGTGGTGTAGTGCCCAAATATATTTACTTTTTGATTCCTATTTTCGTAATCACGAAAAAATTGTCACAAGTCGGAAAAATAATTTATACTTCATCCCGCTTTTTGGCGAATAAATTGGATAATGATTGCCATTTAAAAATATGGACTTTTTACTAGAATGATTTTGCGTAATGTGATGTTGCGCAAAATATTCAATTCCTTGACCGATATATCACTATTTAAAATGCCTTGCCGTATTAATTTAATTCTATTAACGTAACTCAAATGTTGGTAAATCGGGAAGGTTAACACACATTTTGTGCCCACAAATTCCCGTATTATTTTAGAGTAATAATACTTTTATTATTTAGTAGATACGAATCAAAGATTAATGATATCGGGCAGTTTACCGCACATTTCAAGTCCACAGATCGCCGTTGTATTTTAGAGTGATAATAATTTTATTATTTTGTAAATACGAAAATAGAAATAAAAAATTAATAGTATCGGCAGTTTACCACACATATTATGTCCACACTTCCCTGGTATTTTAGAGTAATAATACGCTTATTATTTTGTAAATACGAAAATAGAAATCAAAAATTAGTAATATCTGGCACTGGCAGTTTACCACACATTTTATGTTCATAGATCGCCATGGTATTTTAAAGTAATAATACGTTCATTATTTTGTAAATACGAATCAGAAATTCATAATATCGGGCAGTTACCACACATTTTACGTTCACAAATTGCCTGGTATTTTAGAGTAATATTACGTTTATTATTTTGTAAATACGAAAATACGAATCAGAAATTAATAATATTGTGTAGTTTACCACACATTTTATTCTATTTTCCACTGATTGTCGACGCAACCATGAGTTACGTTGAACGAAACTAAATTAATAGGGCATAGTAATTTTAAATGATGGTATCTGTCATGGATTTGAATATTTTGCGCAACAGAAAATCATCCTTGTAAAAAGTCGAAGCTTTTAACTATCATCGCCAAAATTATTTGCCAAAAAGCGGGAAAAAGTATAAATTATTTTCCTTACTCAATCGACTTGTTTTCCCAACTTGCGACAATTTATTGGGTATCCTAACAATTACAGCTTTAATTGATTTTCAATTTTTTGACAAAATGGGAATGAATGTGTAAACTAGAAGCCTTGTAGGAGAATGGCGGCAATGTCTACCACGTAACCGTGCAAAGGTGTCGCAACAATACGCATGCTTGCACAGCAGAATATAAACAATCAAAATACCGATTCTAATTCATCGTTATTACAATATACGCGAATACTTTGATATTCGAATACATTTGAATATTCTATTCGTTTTGGACAACCCTGGTCACGAAGGACTAGTCATTAATCAATTCTGCGTAAGATTTGCATCGTATATGGTTTATATGGCATTACTAAAATCAGTAAAAGAATTCGAAATTTTAGAAACTCACTCACAACAGGTTTCCTCATTTTGAAAAATTTATGAATTTCACCATGTAAGCTACATAAACACGGCATGGTATATTTACACAAATCTAATACCGACACAATTTTCAAAATGCTAGTTGTCATCACGTTTGGATCTCCCGGCGTGACGCATCGTGCTAAGCGTTGGAAATACGCACCTCTGATTACCTGCGTGGGATTTCATTCTCGAATATTATTGTGATAGTTGACCGGATAATAAATGATCCTATATAATGCATACGACAAATAGTGATTTTGATATTTTTAGTGAGTGGCTGTTGACTTCCCCCAGAGAAGATAATAACAAGTTTTATTAACACTTCTCTTCCAGTATTTTAGCCATCAGTAAAATGCTGGAGTAAACTTAACTATCACATCACAAAATACGTAAAACACATGTACATTGTCGGGCAAATGCGGGCGCCTTCTTGTTTTAGAACCAGACAAAATGCCAATACTGCACATCGACACTACGTTAGGGTCACCATATTTGAAAAAGCAAAATTCCGGACAGTTCATGACTTCGAATTAAAAATTATGCGCACGGTACGAAATAACAATGTTCTTTATTAGCAGTGTGCACCGTACGATTGCAGATGCAGTAAAATTCCGGACCCCGGACATTTGAGCATTTTTTAAATTCTTCCGGAACGCAAAATTTAACCCTAAATTCCGGACATGTCCGGAATTTTCCGGACGGTATGGCAGCCCTACACTACGTAGGCTTTGTAACATCGAACTTTTCGGTGGTGGATGGCCTCGGCACCATCCATACTATATGAAATTTGTTTGTTTGCTTGTTATCTGATGGGTTGTGGTTTGTAATTTCTGCTGCGTATTGGGGATGGAATAAATTTGTGCCAAAAGTTATACACACACTAGCATAATCGACACCAACTTCCAATAAGATTCCGAACTGACAATGACAACTTGGAAATTATGTAATGCAAAAGTATGCCAAAAGAATTAGACACTGCAATTCTTTAGAAAAAAAAACTCTGCAAGTTTGGATATTTGTTTCCGACTTATCATTTCTGAATAACTATAAAAAATATTTTCATCATTTATCTGGTTGGACCAACACAACAACGAAGAACAATTTTTCTACAGATGGTTTGTATGACATTAACCGCCGAGCTGGCTCATGATTTCTTGCATTTGCAGACTCGCTGAGTGTCTTTATTAAGCTGCTTAACCGCCGAGCATGCTGATTGCATAAACACTAGATTTCTTTTACTTACATTTAGGTTCACTCTACACACTATTTATTTCTTTCATTTTAATGATGCTTCTTTCCTTTGCGACTGGCCTTTTGCTATTTCTTATCATTCTATTTCTTATCATTCTGTCTCTACTACCACCACCACTTTTTTTACCATTTCTTATCATTTTGAATCTCTCTCCACACTCTTTTATTTCCCTGACTCTCTAGGCTATCTTCTTTTTAGGGGGGGCTGGCCTTCTGGTCTCTATTACCACCTTTGCCATTCCTTATCCTGCCCTACAGTTCGGTTGTGATCTTCCTTCTCTGGCGGCTGGCCTTTTTTGCTGGCTTCTTCAGGTATCTATTACCACCTTTACCCTTTCTGATCCTGCCCTACAACTCGGTGGGATTCGAACCCCTGATACCTGGCCTAATGTTAAATGTAAAGAAGGGGTCTCAAACTCGCGACCCGCGGGCCAATAGCGGCCCGCAAGACGATAATTTGCGGCCCCCGCCTTGGTATGAAAGTTTAATGTTAGTGCGGCCCCTAAGTCACTCAGCTCAGTTAGAATGAATATTACATTTAATTATGATCAAGACACGTAGAGCAAAACAAAATATTTTATAATCTATCCCCCGAAAGGAATATGCGGCACGGTAACCTACTAGTACCGTAGGCAGGGTATTCGATGGACCTTTGACCCCGAAGACTTTATCATTGCTAATTCTTGGTGCTTATTTTAGAGGTGGCTTCGCGAGTTGAAGCCTATAAACTGAGGTATATGTTTCACGTCATCATTTTGATTCAAAACATTCAACAACCTGTTTTTCAACAGTACCGGTAGAGAAGTTTAGCCTAGTCTATCACAGCTATTTCTAGACTTATTTTTGATTACGGCAATTAAGCTACGAAGCCCGCAATCAGAATGATCATTGAGTTCTTTGATTCATACTTGAATTTCTGAAACACAACCCAAAACTAACAAATAGCATGCAAAAACGAGGTAATGTTTACAAACATGTCTGAAAATCTTCCTGGTTGACAAGTGTCTGAGCGTTTGCGAAAAAGTCTATTGTTACGTCACATTTGCGTCTTGCTGATTAGCCAATGTTACGGTATAAACTAGGAAGTGGATGCTCGGGGAAAGGTCCACTGAAGATTTATTACATTTATGTTTTTGACATGTT